TATTTTTTTTGGGTGTTTGGTTTTTGTTGTTGGGGGGGGGGATTTTTTGGGGGTAGCTGTTTTTTGGTTGTTGTTGGGGGTTTTTTTTTGTAGTTTGGTTTTGTTTCTTTTTTTCCCCTGGGATAGAATTAAAAAAAAAAACTTGCCCCATCATCAGCATAGAGATTGTATAGATGCTCAAATTTTTTTGGCCAAAAAAGAAAAAGCTGGGGAGGGGGGCGGTCAGTCAGCAGTGTTTGGTATAGTTGCATGTTTGGCACTTTTTCCAAGAAACGTTGCCATACAAACACAAAGGTGAATCAGTGTGATCCTGATAGATTATCAAGACTGATGACTATCTGTTAATTAAGAATATCTTGCCTAATATGTTGGAAACTCAGGTTTTGTATCCTCTTCTCATTTTACCTTTGACAAAAGCACTATCTTTTAAACCAAATTGCTATATAGTATAGTAAGTCAGTTCATTATCTCTGCTTAATCTTTTATCTGATCAGATTTGAGGAGGAAGAAGCCAAAGGAAAACTTTCGCATGGAGGCATTGACTATTTGCAGAAAGAAAAGAAACTTCAGAGTATTTTGAGTAACCCATATTCAGACTCGAGCTTTTAGAAAAATAAATTGTTCTGTGAAGTTGGCAGTGTTCTGAATTTTTTTTTTTCCAGACCTATGCAAATATGTGGAGAATTAAATTTAGTTTTAGGGGTATGAGGGTGGGGGGTTTTTTTCTCCTCTTTGCATCTAGCCATTTTAAGAGTCTCGGAATGTTTTGTTTTCAGTTACTTGGGAAGGAAAGGAAAGTGCCCCAGTGAACTTAAAATTAATTCACTTGACCTACCCAACTTGAGTCACACACCACTACCAATCTTTCTACATAAAGCAGCAGACAATTTTACATTTTAAGAAGTGTGTGTATGTTGGGTAAACATGAAAATAACTGATAGTATTCAACAAATATCAAAGAATATGGCTTCTCTCGCTCTGTTCACAAAGTGTCCAAGTGCTTTATAATTCTTATGTTTGTTCTCTATTTAGAATTGATGAATTGTTTCTGTGAAAACGTAGATTCTGTGAGCACTCAAAGTGAACACAAGCAGAAATGAAGTAGAAACAATTTTTTTTATTCAGTCACACATTTTTCACGGTTTGAGATTACTTGCTTTCATAATGTTTTGACTACTGAACAACATATAAGGCAGGCAGAGTTTCCCTTTTTATCAGACAAACTGATACTGTTACAGAGAGGGGGAAGACAACATTTTTAAAGGCAGAAGTCCTTCTTTGTCTCAGATTTTGAAGAAGGATTGATGAGGCTGAAAATCTGTCTTGTTTTCATGATTGTCTTGGCTGATCTAGAAAGTGATGCTACCTTTCACCAACACGGTGGTGTGAATTCCATTTAAAGATAAGGCAGGGGGGAGGGATCTTTTTACTGTGAGGGTGGTCAAAAAGTACAAGTTTGCCCAGAGAGGTTGCGGAGCTGCCATCCTTAGGGTATGCAAAACCTGACTTGGTGGGCCACAGCCCTGAGCAACCTGCTCCAGTTAATTCTGCTTTTTGAGCAAGAGTGTTGGACTGGACAGTCTTCAGAGGTCCCTTCCAACCTCATTGTTTTGGAAATTCAATTACATGGGTATCATGTCTGAGAATACTTCAGTTGATATTACATGGCAAAACTTACTGGAGAGATTTATTGGCTGTGGACTCTCAAATTAACATTGCTCCTTGTAGTGAGTGGCTGTACTTGCTTTAGGTGTCAGAGAAAGACCATGACACAGTCCCAAGTTCTTCTGTTTGCCTCTGTCTAACTAAAACAAGAGAGACCAAATCTGAAAGGTGTAAATGCTTTGCTGTTGGGAATTCTTTTCCAAGAGGCCTAAGGATTATAGGATGGCTTATATAACACTTAGAGAGGAGTGTTTTGATGAGGGTCCAACAAACCAAACAAAAAACAAAATTTGAATTCCGGAATCTTCCGATCATCGGAGTGTCTTCTGAAAAAAGGCATTTTTTTCAGAAGGTGGATTGTGGCCTCAAAGAACAAAGGGGGGATTATTGGAAAAAGGGTCTCAAGGGTTTCATTTGGTGACATTGCTCGTTCAGCTACTGAAGCTGAGGGCAGATGTGTGGAGGGGTTTTGGGTAACAAAGCTCATGCTGATACCGTGTGCTCTTTGGAGGGTGTTGGTAGAAAGAAGGATAGGAGATCAGGTTATTGCTTCTTAGTACTATTTCTTTTATCTTCTTGAAATAATAATGATGCTTCTGTGAATAGCTTCCAAACTGAAAATTATGAGCACTCTTTGGAAAGAACTTAATGGAATTTTTTTTGACTCTTTGTCCTTCATAGCCATTATTGTCTGACCACTGTGGATGGATCCCATTTTTTTCCCATTTCTTTAAATGTTACTTTGGGGGGAAAAAAAAAGGCAATCTTGGTAGATGAAGTTTGCTACTGAGGACTTGCAGCTTCTTTAATAATAAAATGTGAAGTTTTATCTTGACCAGCAATTCAATATAAAGTGAGGATTGTCATCAATTAAAAAAGCACAACTGTGTTTTTATGACCACATCATGATTTAAGCAACAAGTGCTTAGGTAAATGTCAGTTGCACAGTAAAATTGACATCCAGCTATGTAATGGGCTAAACTGGAGCATCTGGCCTAGAATACTGACAACACCCCATCGTTTGCATAGTGAAGTATGAAAAAATGCTTTTTATAGCAACGCGGTTGTGGAATCTAATCCTGTGCTCCTGTTTGTTAAATCTTTTAGAACATTCTTCCTAATGTACAATGTCTGACTGATTGCATTTATTTCTTGCCTAATTTAACATAGTAACATTTTGAGGGGGTTGTACTTCTAAAAGAGTTTTTACCTTCACAAGTGACTACTTGTTTCTTATTTGCATCTTCAAATTAGTGTTTCACTACTTACAATGCAGCGCTCACGTTAATATAGCTCTTGCTGTGGATTAAACTAGAGTTAGGGAATGAATGACTGATAAAAAATAGTTTTATTTTCCCCCTCATTCTTTGAATTGTGAATGGAATAAAATGCTAAGTCGTGAGATCAGTATTCATTTGAACAACATCTAATTCCAATTATCTATGCCTTCGTTGCAGGTGAGATTGAAATGGGAAGATATCCAGCTGTGACCAGAAATGTATTTTCCAGAGTATAGATTGCACAGAAATTTGTGAATGAAGAGGACCCATCTGCATCTCCTTAAATTATTCAGTTCTCTGCTTTATTTCCCCATGCTGAGGATTTAATTGTTGAGTTGTACATTACTGTATTTTAACTTGTTGCTTAGTTTCTTACACATTTATTTTCAGTACCTGGCTGAAAGTGTTACCTATTCCATATTTTAGCACAATGTGCTGCAAACAAACAGTTGCCATAGTGCAAATGAGGTTTCATGTGTACAGAGTTCCACTTTAGGTTGTCGAAAATACTGCCTGAGTTTAGTAATTCTTTCAATCTGAAATGCATTCTTTTAGATGTTTGAAAACCACGAATAAACAGTTATTGAACCTTTTTGGATTTACCTCATTTAAACTCAGTTTTTATTTATTACTTGGCCTGTTTTTAATATCAGTGACTTAAAAAAAAAAAAGTCAAGTGGGAGCACTGTTTTCATGCAATGCTTAGGGATTATTTGTATATTATGTGTACAACGTTGACTTGTTTAAAGAAACAAAGAATGAACCCCGTCCCTTCCATCCCAACCTGAACCTGTGCTCAGTTGTCCCTTGCCACACCTTTTGTTTGTCATGTTGTTTTTAGATTGATTGGAAATGCTCTCTTCAAAACTGAAATAAATTAAGTTTCAATTACAGCTACAGGAGCTTTGTATTGCTGAACTTTAGTCTGAAAAGTTTCACAATGACATTTTTAAAAAAAAAAAAAATAAACAGTTATTGAACCTTTTTGGATTTACCTCATTTAAACTCAGTTTTTATTTATTACTTGGCCTGTTTTTTTAATATGTGACTTAAAAAAAAAGTCAAGTGGGAGCACTGTTTTCATGCAATGCTTAGGGATTATTTGTATATTATGTGTACAACGTTGACTTGTTTAAAGAAACAAAGAATGAACCCCGTCCCTTCCATCCCAACCTGAACCTGTGCTCAGTTGTCCCTTGCCACACCTTTTGTTTGTCATGTTGTTTTTAGATTGATTGGAAATGCTCTCTTCAAAACTGAAATAAATTAAGTTTCAATTACAGCTACAGGAGCTTTGTATTGCTGAACTTTAGTCTGAAAAGTTTCACAATGACATTTTTAAAAAAAAAAAAAGAATTTTTTTATCTGCTGAATTCTACCAGTGTAACCTTTTTTCTAAATAAACAATAGTTTTCTCAATGGGTCGTAAATCATTCTGTGTGTGGTCACTTTATTGCTTTATGTATTGTTATGAAAATTTGATATTAGTTGGAATTGTGGGAGGGTGTTTTCTGTCTTCGCTGATGAGCCCTCTGTACCTGCCTGCCGATCAGATGCAAAGGGTTAGTTACATAGTCCGGTGCCTAGTGTGAAGTGACAGATGTGTTACGCTTCTCCGGTGGTTTCGAGAAGCTCAGGGTTTGCCTTCCTCCAATTCAGTCAAGTTTTACATCTTTCTTTTGAGGCATTTGTCCCTCATCCAAAGCTCATTAAAATCTCTGGCACTTTTTTTTCCGCATTTCCTAATTTAGTCAAATTAGACTGAGTTAGTGTGTCTTGAAAATGTCTTAGTTTAGTTTGACCAGTTTAGTTCAATGCCTGACAAAAAAGGGACTCTACCTGGCTTGTGACATAGCATGGTAGGTCACTTCGGTGAAGCCGCGATCTCAGATGTTCACCCAGGTAAGAAATCTTCAGGTCTGGAAGTCTTTAGGTCACATTCATGACTGATTTCCACCCCTGCCCCCCCAAAGGTGTGGATTTCCTTCCATAAAAATGATCGCTAGTTTGTTTAAACTAGAAAATGTGGATTGTGAAAGAATACCTGTTTGTGTTCTTTGGAGAAGGGGAGATTCCAATGTCTTGTCTCGAGACTTTGTTCGCTATTTAGTGAATAAAAAGGTATAACTGGAAGCTGAGCTTTTTTGGCCTGGGTACAGCAGTTTAAATACCCAATGAATATGTATTCACCAAAAAACAGGAGCTGCTGCTACAGTTAGATTCTTGTTAAGTTTTGGAGATGGTGCATCTCTCGTGCTCTTTCTCTACAGTTAATTCGCACTCCAGGGGGTGCAGGACTGATTGAAACTGAGTGCATTTGCTCCTTTGTTTGCCTGGAGCCCTGTGAGACAGACAGCTTTCTGTAAACCCCAGCTAAGTCCTCCTTTGCTTCTATCGTACCTGCTAGCTGCAGAGGGAGAAGTGGTGACCTGGAGGGGGAGAGAAAACTTCCCCTTTTGGTGCTATTAACATATCAAATCAGTTGGTGCAGTCCAGTATTACAATTCAAGTAGTTCCTCTGCAGCCTTTGTGTTTACTGTATCTTCTGTCTCCTTTTTAAATTCAAATTCTGCTCCTCATCCATTTGGTATGGATCTGCTTTCTTTTCAAAATCAATGCAATAAAACTGTGTTGGGGTGTGGAGGAGAGGATCTGGTGCCAGTGGGCCACGTTTCACACTCTGAAGACTGAAATATGAGCAGAACTGTAAAACCTTACAGCCTTGGTCCTCATGCCGCTTCAGAAGATCGTGGGCAGAAGTAGTGAGAGCTGTCACAGCCGCTGCCCAAAGGCTAGAGTCAAGTTTTCCTCTATTTTTAAAAGGCACAGCGACTACAAAGCTAATCATAGTCCCTTTAATTTGTATAATTATTTTAAAAGATGAAGTCATGCAAGTTAGGGACCAGTGTCTTGGAGGAGGTGAAAGATTTAAGTCCTGTCAAGTGGTGATCTTGATAACAACGACTGAGATTTCTTGTAGGTACAACTTCTCCCAGGACTCTAACGTATTCCAGTCCCTATAACACTGGAATTAGTACATAAAGGAGTGTGTTTTCACTTTTTACGATCTCTAACAGGAAAGGATGATCATGTTTTTCAAGGTTACACTTTCAGCTTGACAAACAAAATTCGTTCTGCCTGCTGGACTGCTGTGGTTTGTATTACTACCATCAGCGCGCCGTACCGGTCCCTCTTGCCTTAATTCCGCTTACCTCTGCTAAGCGCTATGGTTGTAGCAGCAATGACTCTCATAAATGCTTTCTGTTGGCCGTGTCTTCCCAGAAAGAGGTTCATTGGTGCTTATTAGTGAAATTGATATAAATCAACTTAAGTTTACGTGGGGAGATGGGTCCTTACTGAACAGCCTTGGGAAATGGGGTTTGCTCACAGGGAATGTATAAAATACAACTCTGTCGGAGCAAACTAATTTTTAATGATTGCTCTGAGAAACATGCTTAATAGATTTAAATGTTCTGTATTCTGTTTGTGTGCCTTTATTTTTAAAGTTCACATAAGGAAATAAGGGTGATATTTAAAATAGGTTTTAAGTTTTTAATGGTAAGTTAATTGCTGTATGCTGTGTTTAAACAACACTGTTTTGCTCTATATGGAGTGTCACACCGGTATTGCTTTTTCCTGTCCTGCTCTCCCCCTTGTCCAAAAAAAATCATACATGAGGAGCTCGAGTTTCTGAGGGTCACTTCTTTGTTGGGGAACTATCTTTGGTGAAAGACAGGAGTCTGTCTGTACATCACCAGCAGATCAAGCTGAGGCAGGCAGTGTGGCTTGGCTCAAGAGTCGGTGTTTCTGTGGAGCCCGATCGGTGATTGTTTAGAATTCGCCTATAATGACTTTCAAAATAGTAAAATGTGTGAGGTACATTCTGTGCTAAACTGATAGTGTGTTTAACAGTAGTGAGCCTAATAAAACTTTATCATGAATTAGTTGTTTTAACTGGTGGTTAAAACAACTGATGGTTCACAAAATATGTGACAAACAATGGGGAAAACATTATGCCGACCGCATAAAGACCTTTTAAATAACTGCAATATAGCCATTTTTTTTCTCCTTTGAGAAATTTGTTTCTCTGTTTAAAAAAAATGTTTAATGTGCCCTTGTCTGTGCCTGAAGCGATGGGCCTGGGTGTCTTCAGAGATGATGGGGCTCTGAGCTATTGCCATGCCTGAGTGCGTGACACTGCTGACGCTGAAGCAGATGACGGGGCTGAGAGGAGACGGAGCATGTGCCTGCTTAAAATTACTGCCTTGTAAGGAGTTGTAACTTGACAGATTTTTAATTGCAGAAGATGATCTTGGCCTACAGGTACTGTCCATAAAGCAAGTTAATTTGTTTTATTCCCAGGAGTTTTTAGAAATAGATTTTTTGCATGGATTCAACATTAACAAAAGCAAACCTATAGCTAATAGACTATTTGCTGACTATAATGATAAACTAACCTTTTTGTATCAAGTATTAGTACTATCAAACACAGAGGGTTACTTGTCTTTTAAATATTGTGGGGTTTTGGTTTGTTGTGGTTTTGTTTTGTTTTTTTTTAAATATAATCCAGAGAAAGGGAACTTGAACCCAAAGTTGAGCATCCCTGGTGCTTTTTTAAGGTCAGTTTGTGACTTCGGTAATCTGGGATGTGGGACAGAGAGGTGTCGTCTTGGTGGCTGTATTTGAAAGTACTGAATATTAAGAAATTGTAGTGCTTATAGACTTGATCAGTAAATCTCTTCTGATTAGCTTTGTCTTTATTAATTAGAGGTTATTTCTGAATGAATCGGAGAAGATTACAAACCTTTGTCCTGCAGTGCAAGAAAGACACAGACAAATTGGGAAGGGACTCAGGTAAGAGTTACCCAGCTAATTAGAGGTGAGAAAGAATTACTAAAAAGGAGAGTAACCAAGCTAAATACTCAAGTGCTTTTAATTAACTCATTTGAGCAGTCCAAAATGAAATACTTCCATCAAAGTCACACTAGTCCTTGGGGATTTGCTGGAGTAAATGATACGAGGCTTTGGCTGGTTGACCGTGTGCACGGCAGCCAGCTGGGGCTGCAGCAGCCGGCCTCCCCCGGGGAGCTGCCGGGGCGCAGGGCTGTCACACCGAGATGGGGTTAAGCTGGGCAAAGAAAAAGGTCACCCTGGGGTTTCTGAATACAGCATAATCTCCAAACAAAACAGGAGACTATCTGTCAGCCCAGACACTTAAAGGTGAGTTGAAACAATCATTTAAAATTCAGCTTCGAGGAACCGAAGGGTTCGTCCCTCGCCTGCGATGCCCACTGATGTGACAGAAGCAGCACGGTGCTTGCATGGGCCTCGTGAGCAGTGGTGGGAGAGGAGAAGGGGTGCGGGATGCTTACGCTGACCCTGTTACTGGTGTGGCAAGTGCAGAGATACACAAGCAGCAAACTGCGGCAGTCAGAAGGAAATTACGACACTTTGAAAGCGTATGCTGTAGCTGGGATAACTCAGCTGTGCTCTGCAATGTCCTGACTTCCTGAGAGGGGCCATAGGAACAGTTCATGCCTATGGGAGGGTTTTCTCCCCCCAAGAAGACTTTCCAAAAGAAAGCTGGTCCTTCTTCCCTGTGTGGGTCTCTGCAGGGACTCAGCCCCATGTGTGGAGACATCAGTGAGGGTTTAGGGGTGTTTGGCGATGGGAGTTGTATATAGAGTACGGCTCATGGCAGGGGGAAGGTCAGAGACCTTGAGTGGAAATAGGGGGGTCAGTACGTCCCGGAGGGTTGAGGAAAGCACAGAAAGAAGGGGACTGTGTTTCCAGAGCTGGCCAGGTTGCGTGGCTGTGAGGTCCACGGGCACGCTCATCGACCCCATCGACTAAATTTGAGAGGGTTGTGGGGAAGAACAGCCAGGGCCGGACTGGCAGGTGGGAGTGCAGCCCTGGCAGTGCACCCTGCCGGGGTCCTGGCCCACAGCCCTGGGGAAAACCTGGTACAAAGCACCCATTAATTAAGCTCTGTTTCTGATGTGGCCTGTCTGATGTGATATTCTAATTGCTCTGTGTAATCTGCAGCATCTGTGATAGGTCACAGCTTCAGCTATTTTATAATAAGCTATTTTGCCTGAATATGGCAAACTTCCCTTGTTTAAAGGGCAGGGGAATATTAAATAAATACCATTTATATTTATTTGCCTCAGATCAAACTGTGGCTCTTACGTTAATTTTGTAGGTTTTTGGTAATTAGCCTTTTCAGCCCATATTTGGAATTCAAATCCAGTATTGGTTGAAAAGCTTCTAATGATATTAAAATCCGCTCCCCAAGCACACAGCAAACGCCTCTCCCTTTCAGAAAATCCCTGCGCTGAAAGCTGTCATGGCAGCACGGGTGGGAAAGAGTTGGTCAAACGGAGACGGGCTTAAATGGGTGCAAAACCAGGGTGCTGTTTAGCTAGAAGGGGGTGTGTGCCCTGCCTTTTCTATGGCTATGGGGTCTATGGGCTCGGGGCTCTTCCAGCGGGGGACGTGTGCCGGGGCCGGGAAGGCGCCTCGCAAGGACAGGCCCGGCGGCCCCCCGGGCTGCAGGGCTGCACCAGCCGCGGCACCAGGGTGCTGTTCAGCTAGAAGGGGGTGTGGGCTGGCTGGGACCTGCCTTTTCTATGGGGTCCTGCTCTATGGGCTCGGGGCTCTTCCAGCGGGGGACGTGTGCCGGGCTCCAGCTGGGTGAGGCTGGGGGGCACCCGGGCTGGCCGGGGAGAGCCCTCGGCTCCTCGCAAGGACAGGCCCGGCGGCCCCCCGGGCTGCAGCCTGCCGCCAGCCGGGGCCAGGAGGGGTTCGCCCGGCCCGCGGACGGCCGGGGGAACGCGGCGCTTCCCGCCCTGACCGGCCGCTGCATGTCAGTGTTGCTCCGAACAACGGCAGCGTGCGGGGGGCGCCCTCCCGCAGCGAAA